CTCTGTATTTGATAAGTTATTCTGGGTTCGTGAATAAAAACTAGTTTCCTAAGTTTCGTATCGGTTCTTCGTGTTTCAGGTGCTGCTTGCATTTACTGGCCCGAATGCGGTGCTGGATCATAGCTTGATTCAGGATCATCCTTGTGTTAGCTCCCCTCAACATATACAAGCAGTTCTGATGCTAGTCCTACAAAAAAGGAGCTATGTCAATTAAATTAGGATCCGGGTATATGTTGTATATATGGTATATTGTAGCCAATACGAATCGCCTACTTATTAATAAAACGATGTCTCCTCCTCGCGCTTTTATCGGATAGGCTGCAACAGCAATTCCCAATAAACTCGTGAAGATGACAATGACTACTGATCCTGATGATGCTCCTGCGATCTCGGACTATCACCAGGCTGCTATATTAACATCGTATGTGCTGTCACCCTCGTAGCTACATGTTGCTTGAAGCCGCCTACAACTAACGAGCCACGTGGTACCTTATTTAAATAGTACAGCTATAGGGCGGGTATCACCATGGGTGCACACATAAGGTAAACCTACAGAAGTCTTAAAGGCATGTTCATATAATTCATCAGCGATCACCACCATGCCATTCATCATCCGATCTCGTCGATGGCGAGAAGAGCTGTGCCTCCGGAAGGTGCGCCCATGCCGTGCAAGGGGTCTTGCTGTGTGGATGTGAGATTCATCGTGCTCGGAAACATGTGTCTGCACATCAATGTGTTTCCGGTTCGCTCTGGACTTCTGGGCTCGAGGGTTGAGCATTGTTCCGTTTCGGGCTTTGGTTGCATACGTTTGGCCATGACGACTCGATTGGCTGAAGAGTGGGAATCCCTCCCGGAGCTTCGACGCCTAGCTCAGAAGCTGGTGCTTGTTACTTGGAAGGGATAGCTGCTGAATTTACCGGGGGTACACATCCTAACACAATAACTTCCCATGTTGACCTAGGTTCAAGTTACTGGGACTGGGACCACAAGGGAGAGCATCGTGCAGAACGAGGCGGTTATCAAGCTTGCTTTGCATCACTTGGGGATGCGACCGAGTGTGCAGACGTGTATGCTGCATATCAGATCCTTTTTCGATTTGATGCAGCTGACGATTCCTGCTGCACATGTGTACACCCAGGGATGGGCCCTCCGTCGCATGATCTCAATGTTTAATCTCATTGTCCGGCGAGGGCACACACCACGGGAGGCTGCGATTGTCAGGCTTATGGAAAGTGTTGGTTTGACAATCACCCCCAATGCTGATGGTGATGACAGCAGCACACGCGCGAGTTCAGAGGATGAGGGATGTTCGGAAGCTGGAGAGTCAGAAGCTTTGACCGATGATGAAGAGGAATTTCTTAGTGCCTGGGCTGTAAGACCTGTAAGCCTACATTATGTCGACTGTACATGCATGCACATCCGATATTTTACGTTGCTGCATCTTAAATTCAGTACGTGCATACCAGGCTCATGGTGAATTGCAATTCCGGCCAAAATCGATAACCCCTAGATTCCTAGATATCCTAGCCCACCGCTTAACATAAGGTACCCCACCACTTCCCGACCTTCCTCGTGATGGCGAAGTTCGCGCACCTGCAGAGGACATTCAGCTTTTTGCTGTGTGGTTCGGCTTGCAAAGGGATCAGATTTCTGTTTGAGACAGGAGAGTTCGAGCAGAGCTCCTGCTTTGGTGGTTCCTACAGGGGCCATCGAGACTGCTGTGGAGACAAGTGCTGCTGTCGAATCAAGCCCTGCTGTGGAGACCAGTGCTGCCGATACAACCCCTAAGATGAGCCTTGCTGTGGAGACCAACGGTGCTGCTGTCAATACAAGCCCTAAGATGAGCCGTGCTGTGGAGACCAGTGCAGCTGTTGATACCAGCCCTAAGATGAGCCCTGCTGTGGAGACCGACGGTGCTGACAGGACAAGCCGTAGGATGAGCCCTGCTGTGGAGCCAAGCCCTGCTGTCGAGTCAAGCCCTACTTACGAGATGAGCCCTGTCACCATGACGACATCTCCCGCAGGCCGGCATAGCCGATTGATCATCCATATGGCAGTCAAACCAGCTAGCACATGTACTAGTTAACTATATAAGCATATATGATCCGTTGCTGCAGGCAGCAATCCGCCGGTGATGACTCCCAAAAAGACGGTGCAGCAGGACCCGGTAGCTAGGCATTAATATATTGTTTTGATCGAGTTCTGGCTCTAGAGCTAGCACACATCGATGAGAAGCCTAGGTTGCTCAACAGAAACAGCTCATCGAGCAGCTGCAGAAGTTGACGGAGCTACTCGAGTTGAAGAAACAGCTCAAGGAGCTCCAAGCAGCTCAAAGCCTTTGCCCTCCGCCTGTTCATTCTGGATGTAACTCAACTCAAGTAGCCGTGTACACATTGCAATGCAGCGCTTATTTATAATATAGAACCCGAATCCCAACCACCCCGAATCCCCACTGCCACTGGAGGCCTTGACAATGTCGACACCCTTCCCATGGATCTCGATGCCGTGGCGGCTGCTTTTCCTTCGGCAACACGGCCGTGAATTAGCTTTGTGTGTGTGTGTGTGCTCGTACATGCATGTGTGCACACGTACTCATATGTACCCATGCATGCATGAGGTTGTGCCGGCAGCTACAGGAGTTTGCGAGGCAATCGACCACATGTGCCCCGCCCGACAACAACCCAGAGCAGGAGGAAACTGCGCCACCCAGACTTCATAAAGCCCCCAACATGTTTTCAATGCAGGTGGCCGGAACCTGCAAAATCTGTGAGCCATTCCCCCCGCCAGTAGTGGGAATTCCAATGCCAGACCCAGCTCCAACGCCAGAGCCAACTCCAACGCCAGAGCCAGCGCTTGCAACCCCAGCACAGCAGCAGGTGATGCCAGAACCAACAGTGCCCGAAGTGACAGCTGTGAAGCCGGTGAGTCATGCACTGGCGCTGAAGCGCCTGTTCAAGAAAAACATGGACGAGAAGCGGGCAGCAAAGTGTGCAAGAGGTCAGGATGCAGGCAAGGCGCCGGATCAGGAGGAGCATGCAGCAAAGTGTGCAAGAGGTCAGGATGCAGGCAAGGCCCCGGATCAGGAGGAGCTGAAGGAGGAGCCGATCACGCAGCCTCCGATCCCAACACCTGTGCGCAGCAAGACTGCGCAGCCAAGAGTGTTTGGCAGTGATGAGGACATTGCAAGGGCTCTGGCCGAGTTCGATGATTCGGAGGATGACCGTGCAACGGAAAACTACAGCTTCGAGTCTGATTCGGGTGAAAAGGATTCCCAGCTGGTTGAGCAGGCAGAGGTTGCCTCTGTGTCGTTGTCCATTCAGGGAACAAGCGCAGATGAAGATGAAGAACAATTGCCCATCGGTGATGCTGCCGAGAGGGCCGACGAGCCTGCCGAGAGGGACGACGAGCCTGCCAAGGCCCCGGACAGTCCCGCTAGCAAGCTCGCCAAAAGGTTTGGGCGACCGCCAGCATGGAAGGCTGGGTTCATCGAGTTCTTGTCCTCTGAGGATCAGGTGCCTTCCAAGCGCAGGGGCAGGAAGCCTGGCAAGGGCAAAGGCAAGAGCAAGAGAAAGTCCAAGGCCAAGCGGTCAGCTGGTGCAGACCCAGAATCCGCCAAACCCGCCTGCAAGCGTGCCCGGAAGTGTTCCACTTTGATCAGCCCTGTCCTTGCTAAGGACTTAGTGGTTTTAAGTAGAGTTATCTAAAAAATACATCTAGTGCTAACTCAGTTACTAAGTCCTTATAACTTGGATACTTGGCACCATGGAACGTAATTAATTTCTTCTTTCCCGGAACCGAAAAACAGGAAGAGGTGCACATTCAACAGCATCGCAAAGCTTATTCGCAAGGCATTTATGTTGCAGCCTTTGAAACTTCTTATGCCCATGACGGAATCAGCATGACCTGGAGATTGGCAGAATANNNNGCATGAGCTTTCAAGAGGCATTCAAAAAGCAGAAGGCTTTCAAGCTGCAGAGAAGCCATATTGAGCTAGCACAGAAGCCATTATTGGCTAGCAGAGAAGCTAATATATTGGCTAGCAGAGAAGCCATACATTGGCTAGCAGGACGGTTTTGCATGTGCTACTGGTGCATGCAGAGGAATTGCTGCTGCAAGATGCTCCTTCTTACCGCAGATGCCACGGAATCAGGGTCAGCAGCCCATCCCTTTTGCGGGAATACTGCACTGCACAAAGCAAGTCTTCGGCTGGCCGCACAACAGGTGCATTGTCCTCTGTCCATAGAGCAGTGCCTTCCATGCTGCTGCGAGAAACCATGGAGCAGAGGCCCAGGAGTACACACGGCCTTTGGTCGATCGCGAAGATGCACCATATTTCACCGCACTGATGCCACCCATGGCCCACGTTCTTTGCAAGAACATAGTCGCCTCTGTGCAAGACACCCGCCGGAACGTGCAGCGCTGAAGAAGTCGTACAGGTGTTGTGCGGCTGCAGCAAGCCCATGCCTTCATGCATTCTGCAGGCAAAAGATGAGTTGAGGGTTTGAAGGTTTGAAATTATACATAGAACTCTGGCAAGGTTGCGTGACGAAAAGAAGCATAAGCAAAAACAAGCAAGGAAAACTTGCTGAACCCCAAGATGCTGAGCAAAAAGCTCTGGAGTTTCTGTGGACCCCGGCTGTGCTTGACGAGGTCCACTTCTGGCTGCAAGGGCTGCTTAAGCTTGTGAAGCTGGCTGCAAAGGAGCTCTCTGTAAACAGACTCTTCATACCTCCGAGTATTGAAGATAAGCTCCCCGTGCCGCACCACCTGCCTATGCTTCCGCTCGCATGCGAAGCAATTCACC